CCGTGCAAGGACCAGAGAAGGTCCCAGCAAAAAAAAAAAAAAAAAAAAAAAAAAAAAAAAAAAAAAAAAAAAAAAAAAAAAAAAATCGAAACAAAACTACGTTATGCAGAAAAATAAACTGAACAACTTTTGCCTCAAGGTCACATCGAAATTCTTCACCAAATTTAAAATAAAAAATAAAGTTTAAAAATATTGTTTTATTTTTATTTTTTTGGCCCGGTCGGGCAAGTGACCCCGGGCCACTCTGGTAGCCTAGCTGTGAAGTCATTTTCCATATCTGTTAGCTCGCGACATAGATGAGCGATTGGGTGGGGATGAATGGACGGGCCAGTTTGAAATCCTTGTGTTTCATGTGCAGTGCACACCAAAAACATTAAAAAAGAATACAAACAGACACCAAACCTCACCACATACACAGTTACATTCAACCAGAATATGATAAATTTGCCACAACCATCATGAATGCGTTATAAGTACAATGTCCATGCCTTATAATCCCAAAGTGAGCAATACGTTATAATCCCAATACATAGTGCTCATTGAGGGATACCCTTGTGATTTGTGAAAGGAAGATAGTATGCCCTCAAGACACGTACATACAAAACGGAGAAAAAATTAGATTGCATGCGATGACAGATTGTGTTCCCCCCTCCCCTCAGTATCTGGAAGATAATCGGCCACGAATGTGTCACCCTTTTTTTGAGACGTGAGTTGGCTTCCGTCCAGCAGAAGGGATGTTTTTTTTTTTTTTTTTTTCCCATACACCAGTAGAAGCTGCTAGTGGTGGTGACAAAAGCTCCCACCCCTAGCAGCCGCACTGCTGGCTCCGATTTATTGGTGTGGAACAATAAATCGCTCCTAATTGGGTTCAGCGTCCCGATCGGAAAAACAAGAGTTTGTATATTTAATAAGGAAATAGGGATTGCCAAAAAAAGGCATCTCAGCAGAGGCGATGTGATATGCATAATATTGCATATTCAACAAAATTTCAGACGTTTGTTGTGATGGCAATGGTGAAGACAGGTACATCAGAAGGCTGAACCTCGACAGTCTGGGTGAGCAAAATCGAACGAATCTACGGGCCTCGCCACACCACTATCGAATTACGTTTTTTCGATAGTTTTGCATCGCCACACATCCAATCGAAAACTGAGGCTTCAAAATTCTTCGATAGGTGACAAAAATTAGAATTTGATAAGCCCTATCGAACGTCCGCCTGCAATGGCCTTCTTTTCATAGCCTCCTTTCCACACTATTGAAAAAACGCCCACGCACGCACTAGCCGCCACGACCATCACACTGACGAGGGTCAGTTTTTGTTTTTTCCTTTTCGATAGTCGAGCAACAAATTTCCAGAGGGTAGCAACGTTTGTGGTCCGGAAAAATGTCAGATGCAATTCTGCAAACAATTCATAAGGAGAGGCGCCGTTGCCACACAGCACTATCGAAAGTGGACCTGGAATGGAGAACATTCGATACTCCACCTATTCGATAGTGCTGTTTGGCGACGGGGGGGGATTCTATCGAATTGCGGACTATCGGAAATTTCTGACACTTGTCGAAAAAAAATGCAATTCGATAGTGGTGTGGCGAGGCCCTACCTCTAGGACGTGGGGATGTGCATACCCTACTACTCATATCACTACTACTACTACCACAAGAGAGGGAGAGAGAGAACGAGGGGACAGGTAAGTCCGCAACCTACGTCTGCCTGCGCCCCATTCGTTGAGGAAAAACGGGCAGTAGGTTCGTGTAGCCCTGAACCTCGCACCGATGGCGCCCGGGTTCGGGAGCATACTGCAATAGGGGTAGGAAGACCCTGTTGCGCTTGACTCCAATTCGACTCTGTGAAATGACTTTGGGTAGGGAGGGTGGCTGTTCGTTTTGGAACGACGGGCTGCCCCACACAGAGGAAAACGAGAAGGGTAAAAGGGAAGGAGAAAAGAAAAAGAAAAAGAAGGGGAGGAAAATGTGACGGCCGCGACCATGGAACAGGTGCAGCCCCCAGGAACTTCTAGAGGCTGATGGGACTGCGCCTGTTCGTTTTGAACAGGGTGCTGAGAATGGCTTGATACAGTCATTTCGAGGTTGCGCCTGGCCTGGGGAAGTGGCCAAATGCATAGCCAAAGCCTGGGACTTTATGTTCCTAAGGAACATCAAGATTCCCAGCCCTCGATCAACTTCAGATCGAGGGTTAGGCTCTGCCCCGTTTTTTGGCTGAGTCTCAAGTGGCTGCCCACCACTCCAGCCCATTCATAAAAGCAGGGATGGCTAGCAGCATCCTCACTCAGTTGAGGTGCTGCCCACATTCTGAATGCGTGTAGAGTGGAGAGCATCATTATGCTGCTAGAGTGCTGAGGGGCAGCGAGTGAGAGGAGGAGTGGAGTGGAGGCTTGCGGTGAGAGAGGAAAGGAGAGGTTGTCATAGCCACCGGGCTGCACGGTGCAGGGGAGACTTTGCCCATTTTGGACGGCGGCAGCAGGTCCTCGGCAAGCGGTGCAGGGGAGACTCTGCCCGTTTTGCACGACGACGGTGGGTCATCGGTAAGTGGTGTAGGGGAGACTCTGCCTTTTTTGCTCAGCGTCGGCAACCATTTTAGAGTGACTTTGGGGTGATGCTGTTCGCTCGGCACGGCAACGACGACGCTTTTTGGCGATGACGAGGAAGCGCTGCCGATTTTTTGCGGCAATGGCACTGAGATTTTGGCAGTGGTGCGGGAGCGCTGCCGGATTTCTGCGGCGGCAACCCTGGTTTTATTGGCCGTGGTGCGGGAGCGCTGCCGGATTTCTGCGGCGGCAGCCCTGGTTTTATTGGCCGTGGTGCGGGAGCGCTGCCGGATTTCTGCGGCGGCAGCCCTAGTTTTAACGGCAGTGGTGCGGAAGCGCTGCTGGTTTTTCATAGCGGTGGCAACGGTATTTTGCATGGACTACTAAGAGTGGGGGCTGGATGGCGCAGGGGAGGTGCCGCTGAAGTGGTAGCGTGGTTTGAAGCAGTGTAAGCGTGACACCGCTGTGACGTAGTGACATTGGAGGCGTGTAAAGGCGACATTGAGACGTCGTCAGATTATTGGGAAGTGATTGTGTATTGAGAGGGTGTCGCGGCAAGCGATCGTTCTGGGGAGTGGTGTGGATCACTTTGCTGACGACTTGTTACCGCGACCTTCTCGTCAAGCGGCGTGATTTTATGCGGTCTTTTTGAGTGGGCCGGACCAAACTTCACTCGAGGTCAGTTAGTAGAATGACTCAATGACTCATACCTCTCTTCACACCTGTGTGAACCCACACTTTGCTTGACCCTGTTCGCTTTAATATTCGAAAGAAAAGGTAGAGAAAATTATGCGAGTCATGCATGTGAATGAGAAGGTCTGACGTGAGCCTGAGACTGTAATGTTTTCTCTTGAACTTGTTTTCTATGCATGTTGTGCAGATAGGTAGAAGGATGTCTGCAAAGGAGATTGATTATGCCTG